GTCTGGCTATACTTTCTTCTGGAAGGGTAAGCCTGCTGTGGAGAGAAACCGCATTTATGGAATTGTCTTTGCCACTCGCCAAAGAATCCTACATGGGCTAACTGAAATGCCTGTTGGGATCAACAAGCACCTCATGACGCTCCAAGTCCCACTGAATCACTCATGTCATGTCCTCTTCATCAGTGCATACCCCCCAACACTGGATGCAGAGGATAACATCAAGGAAGCCTTTTATGCTGACCATTACAGAGTGCTAACGACTATCCCCAGAGAAGATAAGGTTGTGTCATGTTAGGTGGATTTGGCATCCTGTGTACCACCGCCAAGGCCGGGGTCAGAACACTCAGATGCTCACGGTGCCCACAGTTTCCAGGATGTCGGTCACACTAGAATAACCCTTTACAGTATAGTACATCCTTCTTTCCTCAAACAGCCAAACTGTGGAATGCTCTGCCTTCCTCTGTGTTTCCATACACATACAATCTGTCTCACTTCAAAAAGCTGGTTTTCCGGCATCTTCGTGGTGTAGAATAATATATTCTTTTTCTTTTCTATTTTTAACTTCTTTTTACACTTATTTTTTGCCCCCTATGCCCCGGTGTGGGTTGGTGACCTGTGGCCGGGTGGGCTATTCTCTGTAAAAAAAAAAAAGTGACTTCAATGCCAGAGTTGGAAGAGATGCCGACATATGGCAGGGAATCATTGGGAGAAATGGACCTGCAAGTCTAATTTCAACGCCCAATTCCTTCTCATCAAGTGTGCTGAACACAACCTCACTGTCACCAATACCTTGTTTTAGCAAGACGACAAGTTAAAGGGTTCGTGGCAACACCCACGATCCAAACACTGGCATCTCATTGACTACATCATTGTCAGAGAAAGAGATCGCCGAGATGTCCTCATCACCCGAGCCCTGCGTGGTTCAGACAATTGTGAGAAAGATCATCGGCTCGTCAAAGCCAATCTTTCACTTCATGTTGTACCAAAACGGTGGAGGCAACAAGCCTTCAGAAGATGTTTTAACACTAAGAGTCCGGAGAATCCAGTGGTAGCACCTGCTTTAAGAGAGCAGCTCAAACATGAGCTGATAAACTACCACACAACAAACAACCCAAATCTTAGTGCCAAATGGGGTATTCTTGACACTGTCAGGACAAAATCCTGCAAAGAGACCCTCAGCCAGATGGAAGGAATACACCAGGATTGGTTTGATGAAAATGACCCAGAAATCAACGTACTCGTCGATGATAAACGTGTTGCTTAACTGACTGGCAGAACAACCCTCGGTCTCGAACCAAAGCTGATACCTTCCGCAAGAAGAAAGCGGCAGTCAAGAGCCAACTTCGTAATGTAAAGAACGAAAGGTTTTAAAATAAAGCATGTGAAATGCTGTATTAGCCCCTGTCTCATAGGCAGAAGTACTTATATAAATATGGGTTAATATATTTGTGTTGTATAACTAGCACCCAACCTGTAATCTTCCGTAGCTGTGAGGTATCATGTTTAGTGCAAGTGATGGGTAAAGTTCCACGCACAAGGCATATCCCCAGAATATCCTAGGTCAGCTATCTTGGGCTGGACCCAGCAGCAGTCTTTACTCATTTCTCACGCTAGTCGGACGTCTTTAGAGCTTATCCCAGATAGTTCCGTCCGTCTTATTATAGCACTCACAGCTACAGTGACTATTACAGTGATATCCTTTTGAAAATGTACATAAACCCTTTTTAGAATAAACGAAGAAAAGGAACATTTGGGTTTCGCTACTAAAACTCTATCAGCCTCTAAGGTAATTGGCTAGAGTATAAGGAGTAAGCGCCTGGAATATAAGGTAACAGCTTGTCATGCTATGACTATGGACCAGCTGGCTAAGGACTCATTGGCTGGTTCAAGCAGCAAATATTGACATTAATCAACGTCAGAGTGAGTCATAACGGGACTGGCCAATGAGACGGGACCACGAGGTGGTGCAACGGAGGTGAGCTAGCAGCAGCGAACCATCACCCCGGCAGTCGGACTCCTGGCTAGCCCGGTCAACACTTGCTGCCGTGACCTGTGTGTGCTATGGGAGTCCTGCCATGAGATTTGTGCTCTGGGAGTCCTGCTGTGAGGTGTGTGTGCTGTGGAGTCCTGCCGTGAGCTGTGTGTGTGCTGTGGGTATCCTGCAGTGAGCCGTGTACTGTAGGGGTACTGCCGCGAGCCGTGTGCTGTGGGAGTCCTGCTGTGAGCTATGTGTACTGTGGAGTCCTGCCGTGAGCTGTGTGTGTTTTGGGAGACCTGCTGTGAGTTTTGTGTGTGTACTGTGAGAGTGCTGCCTTGAGCCGTGTGCTGTGGGAACCCTGCCGTGGAGCCGTGTGCTGTGGGGAGTCCTGCCGTGAACAGTGTGCTGTGGTAGTCCTGCCTTGAGCCGTGTGCTGTGGGAGTACTGCCGTGAGCTGTGTGAATCCTGCCGTGAGTCGCGGGTGAATCCTGCCGTGAGCTGTGGGAGTACTGCCGTGAGCAATGTGCTATGGGAGTCCTGCCGTGAGCTGTGGAGTACTGCCGTGAGCAGTGTGCTGTGGTAGTCCTGCCGTGAGCCGTGTGCTGTGGGAGTGCTGCTGTGTGTTTTAATTATTAAATAGTTAAGTCCACCTTTATACGTTGTTAATACCAACCCTATTATTCTATTGGAAATAGCATAACATAGCTTCATGAGTGCCTGTTACAAGTGGTGACAACCCAGGAAGGTTGTTACATATATGACAGCTCAACAAGTAGCTGTTATACAACGGTAACAGTCACCTAGTGGTTACACAGTTGAGATAATCTGTTCTGTTACTGTGTAACTGTTACAAAGAAGCATTTGTTACACGGCAAAAGCTCACAGATATCCCAAGATCCGCTAATTTTTCAATTCCCCACTAAAACATTTTATGGGCCAATCACTAATGCAACAGCACCCCCTGTTCATCCAACAGTAACTCCCTAAGTAAAGACGAAGAAGGTATCTTTCAGCTGAAAAAGCACTACCATTCGCTGCTCAATCGAAACACCGATGTGGATGTGCTGACTACCCAGCAGGTCCCTCAGCACCCAGAGCTGACCCACCTCAGCTCTCCTCCATCCCTGAATGAGGTAGCTTATCATCAAACAGATGAAAAATAACAAAGCTGCAGAGCCTGATAAATTCCAGCTGAGGTGTATAAAGCAGAAGGACCTCTGCTTACCAGCCACCTCCACTTTGAACTGGAGAATATATAGGAAAAGGAAGAAATCACCCAAGTTTTAAAGACGCCTCCACCATATTCATAAGAACAAGGGAGACAGGTCAAACTGCGGAAACTACCAAGGGATATCTCTGATGTCCATAGTTGGCATGATTATAACCCGAATCCTCCTAAACAGACTTCTTTCTGAGGCGGAAAACTTCCTCCCAAATTCTCAATGAGGCTTTAAACCATCACATGGTACCACAGACATGATTTTTTCTGCCCATCAGATACAGGACGTAGTCTATGTTCCATCCTCTGAGTTCGCTGGGAAGACAAGAGAAGAAATGCCAGTACTCTCGCTGACACCAAATGTAGGAGCATCGAGGCTACCATTATCCATGAACAACTACGTTGGACTGGCCATGTTACTCACATGGACGACAGTAGAATACCAAAGCAGCTACTTTTTACTCACCTAACAAATGGTAAACATAAGGCTGGAGGGCTACGGAAAACATATAAGGATAGTCTTAAGACAAACCCGAAAAAGTGCCAAATCGACCCCCTCACTTGGGAAACAGTTACTCCATACCAAAACGCTTGGAGGAGCACCACATGAGAAGGTGTCAATACTTTCAAGTTAGCCCAACTGCATAAAGAGACAGACAAGCACTAACGTTGGAAAGACACTGCCGACGCCCCTTCTGCACTAGATATAGCCCTCCACACATGCAACATGTGGACAACCCTGCCAGTCCCATATCGGCCTCTCAAGTCACCTCAAAGCTCACCAACGAAGGTAACATCCTAGCGCCTACGCCTGTTAAGGTGCCATGACCTTGTCCCCCCACGAGGTTAATCGAGAAAAATCAAAACTTTTCCAAAATAATTTTAACCTTTTTAAATTACAAAACAATCAAAAAGAAGTAAGAAAAACTATATATTGACCCCAGAAACTTCCTTGTGCCAGCAGTGGTGAGGGAGAGAATGGGACAGAATTGTTTTGACAGCTGACTTTCTTCACTATGCACTTAGCGGCCATTTTCTGCTTGCCTTTGTGTCAGGGATGGCCAGTAATGCATATATTTAGTGATCATAATACTTATTTCCTATAAATAATTAATTTCGAATATTATAATTGCTTTAGTTTTCATAAAAAGTGCTCGGCAACACACACGCAGTCGGTCGCGAGGCTGTCTTTGTGTTTGGTAGAGCAAGTAATGAATAAAATAATAATAATTCCACAAATAAATACATTTATAACATAATCATAGCGTTGTTTCCAGTAATACTACACTACAATAAAACTACACAACTACATGATAAAATGGACAAACAATGAAAATGAAACAAACAAAAGCAGGTAATTACTTTCAGGAAGCTTCCCTGTGGCTGGAGCGAGGCAAATAGTCACACTGGAACCTGATAACCTCGGCCATTTAAACAGTGGCGGGAAAAGGCGCACATTCTGGAATGTCACCTGGGGTGCGCCGGTCAGGGCGTTTGAACTTCACCCGGGGTGTACGGGTTAATAACTCATATCATTGTATCATAGCTGGATGATTGTCATACTGGTACTCGTTTCTGAGTGACAGCAAAATAGTAATAGTATTAGTAGTGTGTGTGTGTGTATGAAACAGGATTTCTTCAGAGTAGAGAATGAGTACAGGAATGTAACTGAGAAGAAGACACTGGATACTGATGAAGATGGCAGCAGCAGTGGCTGGAGCAATAGGTGATTATCTTTGAAGTGGGGATAAAATGGGGAAAAAAAAGAAAAGAAGAAAACAATTAACATGTAAAACTACTCACCTTAGTTGCTGTGTGATACTATTGGAACGTCTCATAGAATTGAATGAGTCTTGTGTATCAGTTGAGGGTCGTCTAGTCTGCAAAAAAATATTTATAATGGTTTTACTTTGATATGATTGTTGACAAAGTTTCTGGACAAACTTAAAAGATTACTGATTCTTCTCATAATTATGTTCAATCCCTTTCACAAAATATTTGACAAGAATCAGGCAAGAGTTTGTGTTGTAACCAGTTACAATCACAAAACAAAAGTAGAAGGAAAACCAGTCTAGCCTGCTTTATTGTCTTTGCTTTGAAATACCTTTATACTTGTAACAATTTCTACACCAAAATATATTCTCAGCTGATAAACCTAATTTCATCAAAACTGGGAAAATGATTTGTGCACCAACTCACACTACCAGTGTCACCTGAAATGTGTTCCTAGAAAAAATAAAAATAAATGGGATGCATTGGCAGTCAACAAGAATAAAAAAGAAATCACAATGAGGTAAAAATACCTGAACTGAGAGAACAGAGCAACAGAATACTGAAATGAGATTTTCCTTGAAAAGAACATGAATATAATCAGTATAAATTCAAGAAATAAATAGAAAAATATGAAGAAGATAAGGTCACAAATAAGATATAGTAGCTATATATGCAAGAAGTGAATGTGGAAAATGTAAATTTTGAGGGATGGCCTTTTTTAATGTGTATAGGACTCAGTTTCCCATGGATGAATTAGGGTGGAAGAAACAAAGGCACTATCATTTCTATTAATGATGATTCTCTTTTACAGTTACAGTAACACAGCACTACACTTTCTCCATCTTCACACTAACATCATAGTGGTGGCTATTATTCAAAGTTGCTGCTACACACATTGGTTTGCCCCAATTTGTTTGCTTGTTTAGAGTTGGGTGTGCAAAACTTAGGCACAAAACAACCATTGATGTCAGAGGACATAAAGTAAATAGACTAAGCAAAACTAACATAATGCAACTTAAGATTTTAGCTAGGTTAGGTTAGGTTAGGTTTGGTATGATAATATGCACAAACTAATTGACTTAATGAACCTAACCTATGGCAATCAAATAATCTAATGTTGTTAAATATGGTGGGTTCATATCCACTGTCATAAGCTGCAGCCACCATAACATATATTGTTGACAGGACCATTACACAATCTATTGAAACTTAAATGAGATTCTAGATAAAAAAAAAATGTCCCCCATCAAATCTGTATTACCCAGCATAAGCTGAATACAGCCATTTATTGCAGACATCCAAAATAACTGAATTAGCCTTATGCATAAACAGGCTATGTACAAAGAGCTCTCTAACAAAACTTAATTGAAAGTTAAAATAGCTCTACTGTAAACAGTGGGGTCTCATTTTGTGTGGGTATATCGTACTGGTACACATCTGTGCATTGAACATCCATGCAAGCAATGTTCTTTTATATGTGTTCAACCAATTGCATAAGCGATAACCTTTCACACAAGACCCGCGTAAAATGAAACCCCACTGTAGTCACTTTCCTTTTAAAATTTAAATATTTTGCTGTTTCCCATACTTTTGACTATACTTGCTATAATACAGTACTTTCATCCTTTATGTACACTTGTTTTTCAATGTGCAAGTTATGACTCTTTAAATAATATGATGGTTAAATCAGTATAAACACTTCTTTTAGTTATGAAATGATCCTTAAAATCCTATTTTACAACCAAGAGTGGACTTAGATACCCATGTTATTCAGCCAGTCAAATTTGGGGGTTAGATCCCAGACTTATAACTAACAGGATTGGCTAGGGACTAATTAAATGACAATCTATACTCACCCCTATAACTGGAGCCCTAAACAGGGGCCATAAGAGACAAGAGTTGTCGTTTCATTGCTACAAGAACAGTGCACATTACTTCGGTCACTTGATTAGTTACAACACGGCAACCACAACCATCAGGAGGAAGGAGGGTAAACTGCATCCCCCAGTTCAGTCTAAGCTATCAATTGGGATTTCAAGATTAATCCATCATTATACAATTCACTGGGTGCTTGCCTCCTATCTTAAGGTTCACAGGTTTGATCCTAAGGCACTTCTTATCCATACAGCAGTAAATGGGTACTTAATTTTACAAGTTGGGTAAGTGAGGACATTCGGGTGAGAGGAAGAGGATGGTGCTGCACACACACACACACACACACGAGAGAACTGACTAACCACGGAGTGTGTGTGTGTGGGAGATGTGCACCTGCCAGTGGTCAGTCAATAAAACTCTAACAGCCTCACAGATAGGTAAATTTTGATGGCAAATCTTGAATAAAGGGCCACTAATTATTTTTTGTGAATAAATGAATTCACAAATATGGGGGGATAAGTGTACTGTACATAAGTCCATCAACTGCAGTCCAATGAAGAAGTGTTCACTCAAGCCACACCCACCTGAGGAATGGGAGCCAAAATTAAATAAGAGAGTGATTATCAGATATTAAAAACAAATCTACCTTTGGACAACTCCAGTGACAGAAAGCATTAACGAATCACTATACAAAACCCATCCCAATGGAATCGCCATATTTCTAGACAGAGCATCTGCCATAACATTAGACTTTCAAGCCATATGCATCGCCAAAATATACAGGAGAATTTTGAGGGAAGGAGGAACATCACCTCTCAATCTACCCATGAGGGAAGCCTGGGAGTTGCTCATACAAGGGTACATACAATGCGGAGAATTATTGGTAACCAAGACTTAGGGAAAAACAGAACTTATTTGTGCGCTTCAAACTCACAACAGAAAAGAGAAAAGTATGTGTCCAACTAACTGACGCAACAAGAAACATGGCGATGAAAAAATCTGGAACATTTAGCATCTAGCCAGACCTCACAGATTATACCAGGATTGCACTTCACTGTGCAGTGCAGGACCCCAAAACCTGAGATATAAAAAATAAACAACACAAAAATGAACAGCACTGGAACATACAACATGATTGAAATACAGTACAACAATCCACACTGTACTGGGGTGAACAGATGACTCTCAATTCATTAAAAAGCAGCTCTTAGCTCAACATTATAGTTGCCAAGACCCACGTCACACTATTTCTTTGCATTATGTAAAGAAAACTTTTCTGCAAACATGAGGGAGCCCTCTGCAATTTCAAGGGTTCTGTTTTTGGAAAGTCTCCTGAATGCAGAATTTACAAACAAAAATAAATTAGTTTAATGGCAAAAATGTGGTTAGGTTCCCAAGTCAGAAAAGACCACACATTTGCTCTTAGCAGCCACAGAGGTACAAATGACTGTTGAGCCAGTCGGCACAATAGGCGATGATGCACTGCCATGCAGTTGCCACATTTGAAAGTAGACACCTGAGAGACATTTATATCAAGAAGCCCAAAGTGGAAGACCTAAAATATGAATTTATACAAATATTCACATTGTTATCTGGAGATACAACTGCCACGATTGCTAATCTAAGAAAATGACTGTGGTGATCCAAGTCTTACTATTCATTCAACAAAACACTGATCAAGGCATATTACAACAACGTAGGCTCAATGATACAGTCCCCTGTGGCAGTGACACGAGAAGAAACGGAATACAGGTATGGGATGGTTTATCCAGTGTCCCAGTATCTGGAATGCTCTATAAAACCCACTAAATACTGGAACTAATTATTTAAAATGAATGCGAAGTAATTCCTGAGACAAGTGGGAAATTTCCAATCGTTTCCCACCCTATATGTTATGATTATTTTTCAACTTGTAATTCCAGGTAGATACTGTATACAGTTAAAAAAAATTATTACTCATACTCAGTCACATGAGCACACACACAACCCTACATATAGATTTGCCCCCCCTGTAAAAAAAAAAAAAAAAAAAAAAAACATAATATATATATATATATATATATATATATATATATATATATATATATATAGAAAATCGCTCACTTTTGCCGTTAATGTAACCCACAGGTCCCGCCAGAAAGTGAATAACATAACATATGGGATTAATTGAAATAGAGTCCGGCCCCAAACTCCACTTTTTGACGACACACAACTATGTTGTAGTAAAAATTTTATCTTAACTTTAAAAACAAGTAATATAGAAGAGAGTTAGGTTAGGGAAAAATAAAGGGTTAACATAGGAAAATAAAAAGGTTGGAGTTAGAAAAACTAAAAGTTATGCTGGAACACTTATGTTGATAGAAGAGATGGAGTCGGCATCACGGGGATGGAGGCTGGTTCGAGGCAGAGGGCAGATTACTGGCCCTCAGGTGAATCACCATTACTAGGTGAATCACCATCACTGTCACCTGATTGTCAGGGAACTTCCCTGACAAATCCCTCAAAGTCATCTTCACTGTCACTATCACTGGCTTGGGCTGGCTGGCCAATTGGGTTCGCGAGTAGAAGAACTTCAGTTATGCTTTTTGGCGGCTGGTGTTTATGTTGTCTTGATACACACGTGTGCAGCTCCATGGCCTGCAGCGAGAGTGGAAGACTTCTATAAGTCATAAATCATTCAGCCATGAGAAGGGAAGGACTTCATTACTGCTCTGCACACTCCATGGCACCCTTAATATCACTATAGGTTAAACTGTGTTCTTGAATGGCGCACCTTCTTCTCCTCTTCACTGGCGTGATCTTCTTCCAATATCTAGTCGGCAGTCACTTCAGGATCTTTCAGTCACCTCCAGGATGTCGTCGTTGGTGAGATACTCAGAGAAGCCTGAACTGTAACAGTCTCATAGCTTCTCGCAGCAAAGATCCACTGCTACTGCAACATTCAAGACCTCACCAAGTCACAGATTGGCTCCTCTCTGCCTGGTATTCCATGCAACACATGTCTCCATCGTGACAATTGCCCAGCAATAGACAGCTGATCCCGCGGCGCTCCACAAAGTGCAGCTTTTCTTGATGTTAAATACTCTCAAATTGTTTGAACAGTATCTTTTTGCTGTTCCAACTGTTGATCTCATCTTCTTGGCCTCTGCTTATCGGTGGGCAGTCTGCTCAGGTTCGCAACTCACTTCCCTGGTATTGATGTAGAAGTCGTTCAGGGTTTGAATTTTTTTGT